GAACACAAGTTTTCGTCGCAAAACTCTGGAGCATTATCTGTTACAAATGTCCTTGGTATGCCATTCCTGGCAAAGACTATTCGTAAAATTTGTTGTACTGTATCTGATTTTCTATCCTGAACCTTAAAAACTTGGGGCCATGCCGAAAACCCATCCACCAATATCAGACACAATCCTATACCATTCACATGTGCATGGTTCATGTGAACCTTGGACCAGGGTTTAGTTTTCTTTAGCCACGAATGTGTCGTGTTTTGTCGAAAATTTTTTATCTCCGCACATTTAGGACATTTATTTATCTACGTCTCCATATCATAAGTGTGACTAGGCTGCCAAGCGTCCAATTTTACACGTTTTGTATAGTACCTATTCCTCAATGCACATCATCATGCATGCTTTTGATTACCTGTCTTCTACATGTTTCTGGTGGTACCACCAGATCTCCATTGCAAACTACGCCATTCTCTATTGTCAATTTATGTCTGATCTCTGTGTACGGTCTTTCCGCTTTAGAACAAATACTCCATTTGTTGTTCCTTATTCTCTATGATTCTATTCAATACTGGATCTTGTAGAGTCTCCATCACGAATCTATTAATATAGATCGGTCTCTACCCAATGTAAAATTTCATCGTCCATTTTTCTTGTATTGTCCCTCTTCAAACTATAGTCGTGATAGTGCATCTATGTGTGGAATCAGGTTTCCTTTCACATATACTATTTCAGAGTCAAAAGCCAGCAACTTCATTGCACATCTTAGTATACCTGAGGATGTTACATCCGGCAATTCTTTTCTGGGATGGAATATCAATTCCGACCTGAGCAAAAACTTTTTCCCTAATGTTATGGAAAATTACCCACAATAACATAATGGACTATTCCATAAGTAATAAATACTGCGCCTCAAGAGGAAGCAGAGAGTTCAGTCAGAAGTCGGGCGACCGGCTGACCGGCTGATCGGTTGAACTCTCTGCCTTCGGGCGGGGAGGAACCCGAACGAGGCTACGCCGAAGGGCGGAGTCTCTTTCGGGGAGGTAAACCGACCCTGAACGCGTTTATGCTGGTTAAAAGGGCATATTTTTGGCCGAGTCCACGGGCTCAGAGATCCCACGGGCTCGGAGATCCCACCGGCCTTGTGCCACATGATGCCCTTTTTTGGGGGGTGGGGGTGATAAATACTGATCTGTCTGAAGTCTAGAGTTCCGTCTGAAGTCTGAGTTCAGTCTGAAGTCTGGAGTGAAGTCCGTCAGGAGTCTGTCAGTCAGTCAGAGCGAGCGAGTTAGTCAGTCGAGTCAGAGGCAGTTCGAAACAGAATCGTGTTCAGAAAATTACTACTAAACATGATTGTTCGTATTAACACTTTTCTACCTCTCTGTATATATTCCTGTTTGTAATATATCTGTATTATTCCATATCCGCCTTGGAGTTCTTCTTTATTGGTTCTACCTTGGACTATTACCGTGGTACAAGGAACCGGACCATAAAACGTAAAAACAAATCTCTTGCTCCAGCCATGCTCCATACTATAGCCAATACTTTCTTTTCAATATTTGAATAGTTCTTTTCAGCTGGCGTTAACTTCCTGGAAAGAAACATCACCGGGCGTCCTTTCCTGTGACAAAATTTCTGATACAGACTCTCCACTCGCATCTGTTGTTAAGGTGACTTCTTTTTAGGGTCAAAATCATGACAACCGGTTTCTTGGATAATGCTAACTTCAATTTAACAAAGGCTTTTTGGTAAATATTAGTGCATTGAAACGCGTTATTTTTCTTTCGTGAATCACCAAAACGCTCAATTCTTTCTGAATATCTTGATAAGAACTTGCTATAGAAATTAGCTAATCCAAGAAATGATTCCAACTCTTTCTTATTACTTGGAGGCGAAACATTCAATATTTTCTATATCAACCTTGAGTCCGGTGAAGTATCCTCCTCTGAGATTTGATATCCCAAAAACGTTAATTTTTTGGCTGTTGAATATATATTTGTCCTCGTTTAAAGTCATTCCTGCATCTCTGAGAATATTCGTTACCATTTTACTTTTCTGTTTTAATTCTTCTTCAGTACGGGCGCCCTGGTATATTATTATATTTTTTTACTTTTCCTTCTAGTAGATTTTCCATGGCACTCTGAAAAATCAAACTGGCTGTCTTAACTACAAATAATAAGCGAGTCCACCTCAATAAGCCTATGGGAGAGTTTATCGTCGTAATTTCTTTGGATTCATCGTCTATTTGGATTTGGTTGTATGCATTTTTTTTAAATCGATTTTAGCAAAATATTTCGTTCCTGCAAAGGAATCTAATATGATTTCTACATGTGGAATAGGATATGAATCTGAAAAAATTTTGTGATTCAAACCTATCTTGTAATCACCACACACTCTAACATCACCATTAGGTTTCTTTACGACAACAATAGGGTATGCCCATTTACTGTCTCCTGGGTCAACATGTTGAAGTATTCCTTCTTCTACCATTTTGTTCAGCTTCTCAATCACCATCGGTTTTATATGTATGGGAAGCCTTTGTAAATAAAACGGCGTAACATTTCTTTTTAGATTAATGCTTGCTTTATAATTTTTAATGTTCCTGTTTCAACACTTCTAACATTGACAGCATTCAGTAATTGTGTACTATCAACATACACTAAGTCAGTATCTATTAAGCCATGATTTTTTATACAATCCACTACTATGATTGTTTCAAATCTCTCCGCTATTTCAAATGTCCCTTGAAAAGAACCTAACGTTTTGATACAGGTTCCATCGAATTGTTTTAGTTTTACTGGGCTTCTTCTTAATTTCGGTCTCAGTAATTTTTTTCCCAAAAGGTTTCTAGGAATGAGTGTTACCTTGCTTCCTGTGTCGAGTTGCAGCTTTAAATTTATACTATTCAACTTTATACTGTTGACTGTATTTCTTTTGTTTTTCTTTTCTATCGTAAAAAACATTCGTTTGATTTTTTTTCTTTCGTCCTGTACAATTTCCACATATTTTACATTATTGCTTTGCCATTTACACATGGCTTTAAAATGATTCCTTTTTTTTTTTTTTTTACAATTATTACATATCTTTCCCCATGCGGGGCATTTTTCTTTTTTTTGGTTCATGTTCATAACAGCAATACTTGCATTTTGATTTTGTTTTTTTTCTTAATGGCATATATTTCCATCATTTCTTCTTTTTTTATATTATATTTTTCAATCAACCCGTTCGGCTGTATAAATTCAATACAGGCTTCCAAATTCATATTATTAGATTGGAACCTCTCTAAAGTTTTAAGTCTTTGCGTAGTGTCGTATAATCGTTCCACCAGTCGAGGATGAATCAATTCCCCCTCTATTGTCATTCCACTTCGTCCAAGTTCATTAAAGTCACAATACCTACTAGTATCTCTTAGTTACTGATATATTTCATAATAGGTTCTCCAGACTCTAGTCTTAACACTAGATATTTGGTCCTTTCAGCAATGACCAATCACTTTTTTTGGTTGGATAGTCTTTAAAATTATGTCCTTAATGTCTTTAAAGTTTAAAGTTTCAATTTTCTCCGGGTAAGTCATTAAGGATAATTGCTTAATGGCTTTACATCCTGCGGTGACCATAAATAAATCCGTGTTTCTGCTTTTGGTCATCCGCTGATTTCTTCATTTTGGCTATTGCCTTAAAACACTTTAACCAGATAATAACCTCTTCTGGGCTTTCCAAATCCAACATAATTCCGTTCAGCGACGCCATTTTTTTTATGAAGTTGATATACGCACAACTGCAGTAGTCGTCACAAGTGACTTTCTCCTCATCTATCTCGAGTTCTGCCTATATATAGTGGTGTCGTATTAAATTAATCAATCCCACTACAGTGTTTTTTTAATTTTCGTCGACTGCACAGGATTATAGGCTCAGTTGGTGTTGTAGAGTAGTTTTCACAGTGGAGGCTTGTATTTCACTAAGTCGGTCCTAAAAGAGGTTCGACGTACAAAAAGTTAGGAACTTGAAATAATAGTTAATGACGCAGCAATCTAGTTGTGGTGATGATACTTTAATGTCCGACATCGACTGACTCACCAACTCGATATTTAGTCACCCCACCCACGAGTGCATCATGTGGCACAAGGGCGGTTTAACGTGGGATCTCCGAGCCCGTGGGCTCGGCCAAAAATATGCCCATTGAACCCGTATAAACGGGTTCAGAGTCGGTTTACCTCCCCGAAAGAGATTCCGCCCTTCGGCATAGCCTCGTTCGTGTTCCTCCCAGCCAGAAGGCAGAGAGTTCAACCGTTCAGCTCGAATAGTCAAATTTTTAGTGTTTGGGTGTCAATCTGAAACAGTGCAGGAGATTCAGAAAGAGTTGGATGAGTTTAATGGCGGTTATGACTGTGTTTGAAGTGATTACTAGTGATGGCGACCTTATGCCTCCATTCATCGTCCCACAAAGCCTCAGGTTCAATATCAATTGCCTCGGTTAGGTAGTGCTGCCCTGGGTCAAGAGACTGGCTTCGGAAAGACCCTGTATCTGGTAACAGAACACTGCACCATGCCACACAATTAGGAGAACCCAGTTCTGGCTGTCAAAAAATTCCTGCGACCTTATAACCCCTTACATCTGACCACCTAACTCCTCAGACTGTAAGAACTTTGATTATTATGCGTGGGGGGGGTGAGGCAGTTGAGCGAAAGACCAACAAAACTCCGTTTACGCAAAAATGGAAATAACACCAGCATGTCATTTTATCAGATATATTTAACAAATTGACACAAAAATATCTTGAAGATTATACTTATTCAATAAAATCGCCATTGGCTTCAACCACTGCCACCAGAGGACTTTGAAATCTCTTGCAACTGTTCTGGTAGCTCGTCTTGTTTAAGTTGATTAATGGTGCCATAATCCTTGTCTTCAGTTCATCTTTGGAGTCACAAGGATTTTTGTTGGAACTCTCGCTCAATGAATAAGCAAAGATCAAGTAAAAAATTTAAGGCATTGAAACTTTAGGATACTCAAACTATGACAGTGATTGAGTGAGCAAGAGAAGGAGTGAGAAGATTGCGATAGATAGATAGGTAGATAGACATAAACAACACGAGATAGAGATAGTGAGTGAGTGCGTGTGTGAACAGATTATGATAGATAGATAGATAGATAGATAGATAGATAGATAGATAGATAGATATGAACAGATCGATATAGTTAGAGAATGAACAGATAAGATAGATAGAGAGATAGACAGTGAATGCTTGAATGAGTGAAAAAATTGCAAGATATATATATATATATATATATATATATATATATATATATATATATATATATATTTATATATATATATAAACCTACTATAGATAGATAGATAGATAGATGGACACAGAGAATGAGTGAGTGTTTGAATAGATAGATAGATAGATAGATAGATAGATAGATAGATAGATAGAATGAGTGAGTGTTTAGATAGATAGATAGATAGATAGATAGATAGATAGATAGATAGATAGATAGATAGATAGATAGATAGGCGTGTAGGCAGGCAGGCAGGCATTGGTGGAATGAAATAGACAGACAGAGAAAAAAAGATAGAGAGAGCGACACAGCGAAATAGTGAGTGAGTGTCTGGATAGATAGATAGATAGATAGATAGAAGATAGATGAATAGATAATGAATGAGTGTCTGGATAGATAGATAGATAGATAGATAGATAGATGAAATGGATAATGGTGAGTGTCTGGATAGATAGATAGATAGATAGATAGATAGATAGATAGATAGATAATGATTTAGTGTCTGGATAGATAGATAGATAGATAGATAGATAGATAGATAGATAGATAATGAGTGAGTGTCTGGATAGATAGATAGATAGATAGATAGATAGATAGATAGATAGATAGATAGCAAAGCGAGCGGAGACAATCGCTGGGTGTGAAGTAATGTCGATGTTTTCTGAAAAGGAATGTTTAGTGAAAACCAAAACGAATTAATATGCAAAATGTCCTGAAGCAAATTTTGTTTGTTATTGTAACTTTTCTTTTTCGGTACAACTCGGGCAAAATTTAAACTCTAGCAAAGAAATCTTTAACACCGCTTCTTCTAAAGACCGTGTCATTTGGAACACGTGCCACCGTAGATAACAGGAGGAAAACCAGACCCACAAAGCCTTCGGGATTAAATCCCCGCCTCTTTCTCATACAATTCCCGGCTGTCACTGGAGACAGATCCCAGAAGTCGAACAAATAACGAATACTTTTCTGCTTTTAGTTTTTAAAATATAACAGAAGACAAAAGGACAAGCTTCCCGCTTTTTTCTTGACTTTGTCTTCTAGATTTTTTAGGTTCCATAACAAACGAAAGATCTGTGCGCCGCCAACAAAGATCTTTCTTCATATACAAAATATAAATAAGAGAATCCAAAAATTTGTTCCGAGTAAAATCATTTTAAATACACCACTGTAATTTGGATAGGAACCACCATTATTTCGGGATAAATTTTCGATACCTAATGATTAAAATGAATTATTAAAAATGAAAAACAAAAATCTTGACCATTTTATTTAAGCTTAAACTGATGACCAAAGGATTAAATTTATTATTTCAAGTAAGTAAAATATTCTGGTGTATTTCAGATAGAAATTATATAGACTGGAATGTCAAATTTAATTTCGATTTCTTAAAATGTTCTTAAAAGCGGACATTTTCTTAATTTTAATGAATTTGTAAACAAAAAAAAATTATCGATTTTAAAATTCTTTAAAAAAATACATATATTTTTCTGACATGTTATTTGAGTAAAATTAGAAAATTTAAAGTTAAATCAATCTGATTTGAAATAAATATTACTTATAGCATAAAAAGTAATAGACAACCATTTATTTAATGATTGGTTCTGCTTACTGTGGCTTATCTGAGGTGATAATGGATGGCCGATTGAGTGACGAAACGATGACACCTAATATGGGAGGCTAGAGTTGATACAAAATTTAAGAAATCTAAGTGAACGTATTTTTTTTGTTTTTAACTAACTAATAATTTTTACTAAATGAACATATTTTCCGCAATTATCTAATAATTTATTGACTTTTAATTACATTCGAAGATGCTTTATGCAAAAATAAAATAATATAAAATTCTCTTAAATTAATTTCTCTGTAAAAAGACAACACTCTTAGATCTCGTGACCGTTTCATAATAATGTCACGTTTAGACTTCCATAGATGAAAATTAGGAAAAAAATAAAGTAAAAAAAAAAAGAAATAAAAACTATTCTAAAAATAGAATAGCGTAACAATGTTTATGTATCTTTTCAATTTTAAATTCGTAAATTTCGTTTCCACTTAATTACTATACCACATCCAGGAAATAACCCAATACAGAATTTAAGACGATTTTAAACTATTATAAATTTTTTAATTAAAATCTTTAAAAAAAATGAAAAAACTTCTTGTAAAAATTCATTATTCATTGAAAAAAAAATTTCTTCAGACAATAATGTCCTAATATAATTTATTTACAAAAGCAATTAAAGGTATTTCTAATTAAATATTGTCATAGTTTTATTGCATTCGTTATGTTTCAATTCAGTGCAGATGTTCAGTTAGAATTGTGCAAGTTTGAAAAAAGGATTAGGTGATTTACATTCTCCAAGGAGTCCTAATTTTAGCGAATAAAAATCAGGAAATAGAAAGGTTATTTGCGAAATTTCATGAAATTAAGTAAGTCGAGCGTAACAAATGTAAAAAAAAATTTGACCAAATTTTCTAAGAAAACATTCAAAAATGATTTCACTCATTTGGTTATAAGTTCTGAAAATTTAATTAAAATAAAACAATTATTTGATTTTTACAAGAATTCCCAAATCAATGTATTTTCAACAGAAAAAAAGCTCAAAAAAGTCAGTTATACCACCGGGATGGCGTAAACAAAATAAGATTTTAACTAAAATTTCGAACGTTTTAGAAAGGATTAAAAAATTTAGAAAATAAAAAAATACCTTGACCTTTGATCTTAATAATATTTATTTTTATTAATTTGTGGCCTTTTTCATTCTGCTATGCTGTTTTCCCGCGAAAAAGGGGAGGTACCTACATTTGGACTAGTGTCCCCATATTAGTTGCTATAACTAGCTTTTAGCTATGACCACGCCGCTGCTACTTCTTATATATGTTGCGCCCCCTTAAGACGTAAGTGATCATGGCTCTCCACAATTTCTTCTCCCTAAATAAATGTTGCCATTTCGTTATTTCTAAACTCTGTTCCGCCATCCATTTTCCTAAGTTCACTACGTGTTTTATGCGTCATTTTCCATTGTCTCGCCTTCCCTGTCCTGTGAGTATTAGATTCTACAAACCTTCCTTCCAACTATCTTTACCTGATGTTAAGTATATGTTTCTTTTTGTTTCCATTTTCTCTAAAACCTTGTCGTTGCTCTTATATTTGGTCCAAGGTATCCTCAGCATCTTTCTGTAGGACCTCATTTATGTTGCTTCATCTGTGATGAGATTTTCCCCATGGTAGAAGAAGAAGAATACTCAGAATCATAAAGAATTAGTTAACATTTTGGGATCATAAATTGAGAAAAGAGTGCTTGGAGAATTTGACACTCACATGATATTCTGAAGACAAGAAAGGCGGAAGGAAACGGCGAGTGAACTTACCATTCGGACTTGTATAATTAGATGACTGGTGGGGATAGTAAGTAAACAAACGTTGCTTAGAGCTACAAGGGACAGGTAGTTGTGGGGATCCATAATCGCACACGTCCTGGTGATACGAGGCATTGCTGCAGAATAGGACTTTTGAAGGTAGGAAACAGATTGTTATTTTTTCCGTTTCCATTGTTAGGGATATCCCTGCCTGATAATATTTACATAATCGTGATAGGGACAAAAGTTCTAGTGGATAGCATCATACATTAAAGGTATCTTGGTAAATTGTAGCTGTGAGTTCAATCTTCGCCTGAGTCTACGAAAATTTTATCAGAGGTTCAGCGTGAGAATAATCTAAAAATTAGAATTTAATAAATGGAATTAATCAATAAACATCCCCGCGTCATCTGACGTTTGAGGATTTACTGCTGCAGTAAATATGTGACTCCCCCGCCTATACTCTATCTTCACAGATCGCCTTCGTTCTGTGCTCTTAGCCATGGAATCCATTGTCCAGCCCTGGTCATCTTGCACATATCATCCGCCTCGTAGTGCAGTGCAAACACTACACCTCACGCGATTTAGCCGACCTACTGGAGCGGTTTACAGGGTGTGATGCGGCGTGGAACCAGCACGTGAGAAATTTAGTGGATGGGTGAAGACCAGTGTTGCCCGTCCACCTTAATAATAAATTGCGGCAACCGAGCAACAATGGTACTACTTCAGCCCACTGCCCCCTACACGCATAAAAACATATATAATTTACAAATAAAAATACTTTCATGGTAATTGTTCTGATGAAGTCTACGGTACCTAGTTATTACAAATTTACGCGCAAAAATAGATTGGCAGCATGGTCTCATTAATTAACTTTTGAATTGGCTAGACGGAACCATAAGTTCTATGTTGACCGTTTCCTTTCTTGTGCTTCTGGCTTCTGGACAACTTCGATCTTCAAAGATTTAAATGCAATGCCAATCATTATCTACTATCTTCTTTTGCTCTCGGGCCTTAACCCTTTGAGTCCTGACCACCGTCTAAAAGGTGGTAGAGAAAAATGAGGTAATGTCCAGCCATCGGTTGAACAGTGGGTAGAAACTTGTAACTATTTTTATATTTACCCTGTAACATTACATAATTATTTGCGAATTTTGAATCAGGAGCTCAGGAAGAATGGTTAAAATTGTTCAGGAACGCACGGTACAAAGATTTAATAATGTTTCTCTTTTTTTATTATTTTTTCACGCTCTATCTCTGATATTGAGCAATTTATCGCATAAATATAGCACACATTAAAATATATTTCTTCATATATATATATATATATATATATATATATATATATACATACATACATATATAT